TATCAACTTGTTGGTGTTGGTGCTCCAACCATGCAAGGTGGACTGCCGAGGGACAAAAGCTAACAATTTTTATGTTAGCCATTTTGAGGTGTGGAAAAAAGTGTTTTCTTACTTATGTGTTGCTATAAATTCGCATTCATCAAAATATCCTTTAGCAGAGTATGTATCATTTTATTTGAGTACAAGGCCGTTCGTATATGAGCTTGTGAGGGACCGTCCGCCACAAGACAATCTGTACTAAGCCGCTCATATGAAGGTAATTCGTTTTCTTAAGGTGATAAAATGTGTATTCGAAAGGCCACGAATAGACTAACTCATCCGCGGTTTCGATGATTTTGGCTTAGGATAGGTGTGAAAGCTTCTACTTGTCTTAGAAAGAAAGCCGTTTTCAAGACGCTTTTTCTTCAAGTGAAGGCCAATTCAAATATATTACGCTTGCCTCATGATGAAGGAGGCAAAGAAAGTCAAATGGTAACGGACTAGCCATATACTAGAGAAATTGGTTGTTATGTTTTGATATGGTCACTGATTTCTATTAATAATTAACCTGATCCCATGAAGTATAGTTAAAAAGTAGAAGAAATCCAGCACAAGAAGAAGGAACTGGAGAACATGCAGTCTCATGCGAAAGCGATCTCACACCCGAGTAAAAGGGTTAGCTTTTTTCCAATAATTAGCGAATCGCTTTATTGTAGAATCAGTCAAGAATTCTAGTCCCAGTCTATAACTTGCTGCCGTGGTTTAACACTCCATATGAATAGTATTTATTTACAATTGAAGGCTTGAAATCATAAATGCAGAAGTATGCAGATGAGGTTGTAAAAGTGAGTCGTTTTGTATTAATCATTAAAGTGAAAGGGAGATCAGGTAGCATCATAGGCATCTGTCAAACAAAAGTATAAATAGAGATACCCATCAAAGCAAAGACAGCGTGACAGAAAGTGCATTAAGGCAAAAAAGCAAAAAAAGAAATTTGCCGTAAATTTGTTCATCGTCTGAGATGCATATTTTTCATTCGACTAGTAACCACTTCCGGCTGAATATCATTCAAGTCAACTGGAGGAGCCGTTGGAGCATTTGGAGCAGACTGTGGGAGATATGAACCTTGTGGCATGTATCCAGGAGTCGGCATTCCGGGCTGAGGAGGATATGGCATAGGAGTAGGAGCGTACATTGGAGGTCCACTGGGATAAAACTGGTAGATTGGCTGATGTTGAGGGAATGGAACTGGCTGAGCTGATATGGGGTACGGATAGCCCATCGCTTGTGAATGCTGGGGTGTTTGATTTGGATAAGTAGGATAAGGGGCAGGAGCTGCCTAAATTGAGA